ATTGCTCAAATTGAAGTTAAAGAGACTAAAAGATGATCTTGATTGAAAATGAGAAAGTAGTTTCTGTATAAATTGAATTTCAGTTCAACTATCAATGAAAATGGTAGTTATTTTCCTTTTAAAGAATTTTGCTTTTTATTAGGTAATAATGCATCATCATGATGTTTTCTTTCTCCAACATTTATTATTTTTCTTTCTTGGTAAATTTCATGGATAATCCTTTCTTTTCTTAGATAAGCTTCAAATGTTTGAGTATCATTTATTTTGAAAATATAAGGAGCAATTTTTTCACCTTGTTCCTTCTTCAAAATACTTCTAATGCTATAATTCTTGGGTTCCATGGCAGATCTGATATAAATGAGTTTCATATTAACTATTTTTATTTAGGAGTAGTTCTATATCACTTAATATTAAAAAGATAGCAAATAGGAGATTTTAACAATCACATTACTAAATTTTGATACCTGAAATTCTGGTGATACCAATGTTCACTTTGTCTGGTTTTGTTGCAGCATGCCCCATATGAAATTATGGGTAAAGCAAAAGATTAAAAAGAAAAAAAATAGTCAATGTTACTAAATCTAGTTGTTGAAAGTATTACATATGGTAATGTAAAAAAGATGGGTTTGTGATAATTTATATCGATAGAAAAACATTAATAGCACAAGTTTTAGCTATGTACAAAGAAATGACACAATATTATGACATGCCTATGGTTGCTTGCCAAAACTCCTCCAGAAATCAATTGGCAAAGTTTCAGCAGTAAGGCTCCTCATGAGCCAGCTCGTGAGGAACTTTATTCAGCAGTCTACATACTAATTATTTATTAGAGTTTTGGCAATCTGCAGAGTTTTGGAAAGGTACACATTAATTGTTTACCAGAGTTTCGGCATAGTTTCAACAGTCATTAAGAGGTTTTGGCAAGCAATCTTAGGTGTGCCGGGCATGACAAAAGTCTACATTTAAAATGAAGGTGGTATCATTTTAAATATTTTTATCCTTGTATTAAAATTTAAAATTTAAAATGAAATATCAACTAACATATGGGGCATACTGCAACAAAAGCATCAAAATGAACATTGGTATTGCCAATGTAATGTGATTATGAAATTTATCTAGACAAAAATATATAGTTAATATGAAACTCATTTATATCAGATCTACTATGGAACTCAAGAATTACAGCACCATTAAAGGTATTTTGAAAAGGAACAAGGTGAGAAATTTCTCCTTATATTTTTAAATTAGCAGATACCAAATCTTTGCAAGCATATTTAAAGAAAGAAATAATTGCTTATGAAATTTACCAGGAAAAAAGAAAAGCAATAAATGTTAGAAAAAAAAGCAGAATGAGAGTGTGCTATTGTCCAACAAAAAGCAAAAATCCTTAAAAGGAAAATAATCTTATTACAATATATTTGAAATATTGTTTTATATTCATCAGCAACTTTGGCAAAATATTCATTTTTTAAGCCAGAGACAATAGTTTTAACATGGTTACATTTGTAATCAGGAATAATTTAAATCTTATTTTTATCAGTAGCTGCTTTTTTGTAATCATTGGATTATCATCAATAAGATATCAAAAACCAGAACATTTTCTCAAACTTGCATCTAAAGGAAAATAACTATCATTTTCTTTGTGAATTTCAATTTATAAGAGGAAAATATTTCCTCAATTAATTATTTGATAATTAATAAATTTATGATAATAACAATTGATAGTAAAGTTAAATCTTTATCAAGTCATTTTTATGAGTTTTTGAAAGTTTCAAATTGCCTTCTGAGCAATTAAATAATAAAACAGATAATTAAAACTATAGATGCTGCCCAAATTAAAAATCAAGAATCCAAGTCCCAAATTACTTTGTACATCCCAAATGTTGATTAATCTTTATGAGTAAGCATATAGTGTAACAAAAGGGTTGCTGATCATTTTCACAAATCCTAGGCATTTATTGGTTGAGAGACAGAATGTCATGGGTGTACAAAGTAGTTTGTGTTTGAGATTTTTTCAACAGGCTGGCTCAAATTCACTTTGTACATTTGGATGCCATAATCTTAAATGATTTGTTTGGGTAGCATATATAATTAAAACACTGATTTAGTAAACAAAGACCTCAAGAAGACATCAAAGATTCAATTTGAGAAATTTTTTTATTATAAATATCCTACTAATTGAAAAATAGAAAAATATTGTAGAGAAACACTCAGTAAAACTCACCCACAAAATCAACATTATCCTGACAAACAACTATGGGATAATGTCTGGTTCAAGTTGAGACAACCAGTATGTATATAATGTATATAATAAATAATAATGATAAGGATCCTGTTTACAATGTCTGATGATGATTGCAATCAATTTATTTCTTTGTGGATTGTGATTTGGAACAAACACTAATAAATAATAATACTATAATATATTTAATAATTAAATCAAGGCTTTGGAAATGGTCGGAGTTATGGGAGGTAATTCAGTATATAGAATTAAAAATGAATTGTAATAAATTTGAAGACTTAGAAACATTCAGCAATTCATGAAATAATTCATGTAATTACTATTTATGTTATTGTGTTTTTGTATAATGGCTAGACCAATTTTATTTCTAATGACATTTAATTTTTTAATGTAAAAATTCTGAAACTACAAAAGCAAGTATTAACAATTTTGAAGAAATTGAACCTGAAGATGATCAAACATATTTGGGAAAGTATAACAAGGAAGGCATTTAGGAGAGATAGAGGATCATCTAAAGGATCAAATAAAATATCTAATTGGGTTGTGATCAATTCATTCTTAGGATCACAAAATATAAATTTACATTTGGATGAAAAAATTATTAAAGCTCTTATGGATATTATTGTTGTTAAATGTATTTTGTTATATAATAATACGTATGTATTTTTTTACCATTAAATAGAATCGAAATAATGTTTAATTTTTTAAATAGTAGTATTATAAAATAAATTCTAAAATTTAAACCACTTCAACGCCTGTATATTTCCGATGATCAAATCTTCCATATCAAATTGTTTTCCAAATTGTCCAGGAGAGGCTTTCCCTCCCATCTTTAACAGTCATGTTGGCTTTCTTTACCCTTGACACTTTCTTATAATTATTAATAATGGTTACGAAAAGTAAATAATACACGGATAATTCATTATCATGATAGAGAGCCTTATAATCAATACCTAGAAGACATGCAAATCTTGCTTCGTGTTTTGATTCAATCTGATATTCATAAATAAAAAAAGAACATCTGGTCATTCATAAATGACTCTTCCCCTTCAATATCGACCATACAGAATAACAACAGTTCTAGTATGTTAATAAATGATATTCCTTCAGTATAAACCATACTAATAACAACACTTTTAGTATGTTTACCAATGAATACCTGGCTCCCTCTCTTGCCTTGGACTCTTTGCCTAAAAATAAATTGTTTTCAATTGATTCCTGTGTCCCGAAAAATAAAAAATATTAATATATATAGACACTTCTTTGTACAACACTATGTGTCTCAAAATTTTTAATATTTGCAAGAATTGTTACAGTGCAAATCACTTAGTCCCACAACTTTTTATTGGTTGTGTAGATTTTCAAATTCTCCAAAAATGGAAATGCAACACCCAAAAATAAATCGTGTATTTGAAGCCAAGACCTTCCTCTGCAAAATCACGATTTCATCTCATTGGTATGTCATGTTGTTGTGGAGAATTTGAGCTTCAAAGTTGCACAAGTTTACCGAATTTACTATGTTTTAGCCCTGAAATGGCGTGTTACACACAAAAAAGTTAATATCAAAAATAGGCGAATTGAAAGAAAATAAAAATAAAATTTTTTTTTTATATTGCTGATCTTTTATCACATGAATTTCCCAGACATGAATCAAAAAAGAATTTTACAACAAATAAAAATCATGTGACCATAAAATTTTTATTGCATTTTTGATTGGGAATTTTTCCCAAAATTGGCGATGTGGCGCAGAAAGTTGTGGGACTAAGTGACTTGCACTATACTCATATAATAATAACAGTAAAAAATAAACAATTTGTTTATGCTCAATTAATTTTTAATTTTTTTTCTTTAAAAAAAATTCCACGTCAAGAAAAAAGAACCAAAGGAAAACGAGATGAAAGGAGCGAGTAAGTGTTCTAGCTATTATTGTTTTTGCGAGCTATTCTAATTATTATTAAAGGAATGGTGGTGGCGATTATTGCTCATTCTATTTTTTTTTTTCATCATAAGTAATGTTGATAACGTTGGGAGGATTGAAGAAAAAATTCAAGTGGTAGTCAGATGCAGGTGAGTTTTACAAAAGATAAAACATCAACATCAATTCGACTAAACATTATTGATTATTGTTAATCAATACTTTGAAAAAAAAAATTTTTTCAAATTAAAAAGCAATGTTTAGAAATAGAAAAAAATCAAATCACCAATTGTTATAAAGACTATGCTTTGTGAAGTACAAATACATTTAAAAATTGAGGATGCATCATGTAAAGTTACACATTTGATAAAGTGTTTTGGAAGAAGCAGATCAACAAAATATATTCAACTCGTGGTCACCCCAATATTGGATGAGGTGTTGAACAGATTTAATCATGCCTTATTTGCATATGGCCAAACATCAACAGGTAAAACATATAAAACATATACAATGGAGGAAAACTTGGATGTTATAGTTAACAATGATGGTATTAGCAATGACCGTGGCAGCAGTGGTGGTGGCAATATGATTGATTATTGGTCCAAATGCTGGTGTCATCCCACGTTCCCTTCAACATATTTTTGAAGCCATGGAATCAGAATCTACTGATTATTCAATGAAGGTCCCATATATTGAATTGTATAATGAAAAATCGAAAGATCTATTGTCTAATAATGGTGAGCAAGAATTGAAAATTATAGGTGATGCTAACAATAAAGCCATTTTACACAGATATGAAGAGGTTTCTTTAAACAATGTCGCTGAAGGTGTCAGAGTTTTGAAATAAGGATCCATCAAAAGACAAACTGCTTCGACTAATTATAATGATAAATCAAATAATTTTGTATCAATTAGTAACTACATAAAACACTAATACATTCATTAATTGAATATATATATGTGTGTATATATGATATTATTAATAATAGTTGTTCATACTCAATATTAACAATAATATTTCATATTAAAGAATCAACACCTGATAGTAAAATTTTGTTGAAAGTTGATAAAGTTAATTTGGTTGATTTATCAAGAATATAATATATTGATTGTACAGGTGCTGATTCAAAAGAGGCTGGGAAAATTAACAGAAGCTTGTTAACACTTGGTTGATGCATTGATAGCCTTAATGAACATTTTCCACACATTCCTTATTATGTAAAACTAAATGTTGTCAAGTACAAATAATTAATAATCATTATTCTTGTCATCAAGAGAAAGTAATCTGATAAGATTATTACAGGACTTACTTGGAGGTAGAATAAAACTTGCATTATTGCAACTATATCTCCAGTAAAATCAAAAATTGAAGGAACAGTATCAATATTGGAATATGCAGCCTGAGCTATAAATAAACCAGTTTCTGATCAGTTTGTAAATAAAAGGCCTGATTTAGCAATAATAGTAAGAATAGATTTCTTATCTTGCATGAAAAATAAATTTTATATACATACTGTATATATATATAAAATAAATTTATATATCAATATTATTGATAGGCTGAACTCAAATGTAAGAATGGGGAATTAATTATTGAAAACATGCAACTTTGTAAGGAACTAGATATTTATATTCTCTCTTCATTTTATTGTTTCGTTTCCTTTTCATAATGTAATGAAGAGGTGGGTGTAATTTGAAAAAAAAATAAAATGGCAATGAAGAAATAATCATTGTCATTAAAATAATCATGATTTATAATTATAGGTCGAAAGAGTTGTTAAATGACGTTGTCGATGTTAATATCAAAGAGATATATATTATCAGTATTTCAAGTTTTCTATTTAATTTCTAGCATTATTAATATTATTGATTTCTTTAATTTTTAAAGATAATTATTAATTTCTATTAAAAGATAAAGATATATATATTGTTATTATTAATTTTTATTAAAAGATAAAGATATATATTATTGGCATTATTATTATTAATTTCTTTTTTATTTGTATCAAAAAAAAAAAAATTCAAATTTAGTATACAGGTTTTCTTTTGTTTGAGCATTGAAGAAAATCTCTAATAAAACTATTTACAATATTATATAAATAAATAAATAATCATAATCATAATAATTATAACTATTATCACTATTAAAATAATAATAACAGTAAAGGAATCATTCTTAAAAAAAATAGTTACATAAAAAAAGAATAATAATTAAAAATTTACAAATACTTTTCAATATTATTGTAAATTATTAAAATCTTGGTCGATTATCATATTTATAACGATTTCCTGGATAAGCTGAATTTAATGGTGGTTTTGGCGATGAATGAGTTAAATGTGATGAATTTGGTGAATGAATTAAACGTGATGAATAAGATGATTGATGTGGTTGATTTGAAGGTTGATGTGATTGATATACTTTATTTGAAGAATGGTGTGATTGGTGTGATAAATATTTTGAATTTTTTGGGCTTGTTGCAACATTGTTATAGTTAGATTTAGTTTGCGAGTTTCCAAAGTCTAACGGTGATGAATAAAGATCAATGACAGCTACAAAATTAATCGACTAATTAAATTTATGATTTATCATAATAAATAACAACATTTTTACTCAGCTAACGACCCATACCTCTAACACATACAGGACCACCACCATATATGTATTCAAAATAGCTCCAAACCCTTTCATTAACTCCTCTATAATCAATACCTATTTTCATCCCAGGTCTTGGTGTTCCATCTTTTTTCAAAAATGTTGTATTATCAATATGACCTGGTGGAGGTGCTATAGTTAAATTAAGTATTAATATTATCATTCATCAATATATCTATCATCAATAATAATATGTGAATATTCACCTCCAGCTTTAAAATTATGCCATTTTTGAAGCCATACTGAACTAATTAGAAACCAATACTCTCTTTTTTGTAATGAATTTGTGTCTAATTGTTGAATATCACGAGCTTCCTTTTGACGTCTTTTATCCATTAATCTTTCTTGTTGCTTTTATTTTTTACCAAAACAATTATTATAATAATAATAATAATAATAATAATAATAATAATAACACCAGCCATATTAACAATAGTAATAAATTTACCTGGCATATAGAACATCCTGCCGATTCAACATCAGATATAAGCAATGGTGGACTACCATCAGTTCCATATTTGTCGACCAGCATTGAATAAACATTGATTGGTATTTTTACTACCATATCATGTAATTTAGGATATAATTTCACATTGATACCTTCAATATGAAAAGGTATCATAAGTATAATTATAAATGTTAATTGTGAATGTATTGCATGAGAAGAAAATACACACCTCCATGTGAACACATGAAATCATAATTTGAAATTGGACCAGGCTAATTATAATAATATTATTATTTAAATTCAAAAATGAAAGTAATACATTATAATTAATAATTAATCAACTTACTGTCATCATAAATTGCCATCTATTAAACCATAATCTTGAAACCCAACAATGTGTTCCATTTTCAGAAATTTCAGACTAAAAAAAAATAATTTAATTACAATCAAACTTCTACCCTGAAGGAGTGATTATTTTTTTCCTTAATTAAAAACCCATGTTTAGTTAAATTCAAATACATACATTATTCCTTATTAGATTCTGGATTAATACTCTCTCTTGATCTTTTTCAGGATTTTTTTTACTATAGAACAATATATAAGCTTCAATCTTCATTATCTCGTCAGCAGATTTTTTAGTGACAAACTGAAACAATAGCAGTAATTACAATAATTTTAATCTCCTATCAACATATTTAAAATTAAAAGTATTTAGTAAGGAGAATAACTGACCATATCATCAAATTCATACCAATTTCCATCAATGGGATTTTTGGCATAAGCAATATAGTGACCACCTAAATAAATCAAATAACAAAATTAGTGACAAATTCCTGGAATCTAATATGTTAAGGAAGAAGGAAATATATATATTGAATATATTACCAGCTAAGCCACCACGATGATGAATTAATGCATATAAATCATATTTAGTAACTTTTAATGATTCTCGTTTTTCACTAATACCTGGACTATCACAATTTTCCTTTGATACTGATTCCTTACAATATGGTCTCATGTCCAAATTTTCCATTGGAAATTGGACATGTGTTGCAATTTTTGATGAAACATATGGGTCAAAGTGAAATCTTTTCAGTTGAATACAAAGAATCTATTTTGGTAGTATAAATATGTAAATATATATATATGCATGTATCCACAAATGTATGTGTATACATATATGTTTTTTGGAAAAAAAACCTCAGGTAATTGAGTAATCCTAAGTGTTTTCTGACAATCATTCAATGATTTACACTGTTCACATTGATATTTATCTTTGCCTGCAAGATTTTCAGTTGCACAAAATTCTGCTAGACAATCATGAAGGCTTGCATTATGACCACCAATTCTAGTAATGAACATTAAAAATATTAATTATTGGTTATGTAATTTTTATATTGTTAGATACATGTAATGTATAATATCTTACCCAAGAGCATTTTTTAATGTGCCAACAAACAATCCCATAGATAAAGCACTATCAATATTTCTTGATTTATATTTTTTATTTATTTGAATTGATAAATCATAAAATCGATCTTCCTTGAAATAATCCTAAAGTTTTTATATTTATTTGTATATTATGTCCCAAGATAAAATAAATTTGTAATATTCATGTTGATAATAATAAAAATTAACAAACCTTTTTGCATTTTAAACATTTAATTTTGCTCTCAAGCAACCCTTGAAAAATATTACTTATAATACTTGTAGAAAGTGAGTGATTATCAACAATATCAGAAGGTGATGACTCGTACACAGCATCATGAAAATGGTTATTATTATTATTATGACTATAGTTACTTCTAGCATAACTTGATGACTTTGCTATATGGTTGCTGTTGTTGTTTGTATTTTCATTTATTTGATCATTTGATATAGTATTTTGTGGGTAAGGAAGTTCTTCGTGAAGTATATCCAGTACACAACGAAGAAATTCTTGAGAGTCCTTTATAATACAAATACCATGAATAACATGGTAAATAAATAAATATTGTTATTACTTTTACCATAATAATATTAATAATCAATAAACCTGTTGTCCATAACCTCGAAAAGCTTCATTGTAATTTTTTATCTCGTCAATTAAATCACTTGGAGAATATAATGTGCTACAAAAAAAATTATTGTCATTTACTATCATATATATATATACTGTATATCATTAAAACAAACCAAAAGAAAAGAGGATATAATTTTCAATCTCTAACTAATTTTGCTCCAATTCTCAAATTTGATCCCACTTGAAATAGTCTATGCTATTCATCTATAAAATATATATACTAAATTCATTATTAACTAACCTGTTACCATTCCACATTGATCTAAAAAACCTGTGAAACCTTTCAGCTAATTTATATTCATGTAATCTTGTATTAGTGTGAAATTTTGGTATATAGGATTCACAATAACTAAAATAATTTGTTAATGATGGCCTACAAAAAAAAACCAAAAAAAAAAAAACATACAATTAACTATACATATACATAGTTTTCAATATGAAATGGATATTAATAAATATTATATATAATAATGATGATTAACATTACGTATTAGATAAACATTGAAGAGCAGCACTACATATAAAATTGTTTACAAAATTTATATTAATATTAATTGGTAAATTTACTTTTTAAATTTAAATATAACCTAATATTAAATCTTCACCTTGCATAGCAGGTATTTCCCAAATTCTTTAATCCAACAAGACCTTTAATAAAATTTACACATATATATTATTATTATTCATTCAACTATTAATTTATTTGGTTAGAAATTCCATTATAATACAAATTTACCAGGAACATCAATTGTTAGATTATTAAAACTTTGATGTGATTTATGTTTTTTAACTTGCTATAATTTGGTTTAAATAAAATATTATTAATAAATTTTCCAAAAAAAAGGAAAGAATATAAATCATCAAAAATCAGCAAAAAAAACTCAATGTGATATATAATTACCAGACATCTAACAATGGTTTTTAAGAATTTTTGCATTTCCAATGATAAGAAATTCTTTTCAAATGGATTCAATTCTACATTACAAGCTTGACACCATATTGCTAAATTACGTGGATTTACAAATATACAATGACAGTGATTTTTTTTCTCTCCCTAGTTTATCATTATTATAAGTTATTCGTATTATTCATTATCAGATCAACCAATAAACATCTAATTTACACTTTTTCTAACCTTATGATATCCTTCAACATGAGCATGCAAATGTCCTGTAGGGGAGTTTCTCTTACAAACTATTACACGACAATTACTCTTTAGAAAAAGATTGTTATATTTATTACATGAACATACGGATGTAGGTATAATAATTAAATGTTTTTTTAAAAAAAAAGAAATAATTCACGTTTAAACAAATCCATATTCTTGGAGTTTTTATATCACAAGAGTCGCAATGTAAAGTACCATTAATTATTTGTTTCTAAATATATAGTTTTTTAAAGTATATATTTATTTATGTGCGTTACAGTTTATATGATTTAGATGAAAATGTAAAGTCAAAAAAAAAGCAACCTTGAAAGAAGAAGAACCAATTTTAGCTAAGGGAGATCCTTGTTTAACTATTAAATCAACGTGTGGACAATAAAACATTTGTAATAGATTCTATAATATATATATATGCTTGTAATTGAATGAATAATAAATGATAATGTATTATTTACTTTTTGGAAAAATAATAAATCAGTGTTGAAATCCTTCTTTTCGTGGAACATTAATAATTGCCTCGGTTACACAATAAAAAGGTTAAAATTAAATAGAAATATTAATATCGGATATCAAATGAACAAATCTACTTATCTAAAATTGGTCAAGTGCTGAATATCTTTCTGTTGTTGTACCTGTCACTATTTTTGTTGACGATTGGTTTGTCAGAAAGTCCTTCTGATGAATCTCCACTAAAATTCTAATTTAATTAATTAATTTTTAATTTCATTGATTACAATAATAATTTCATATTTTACAACTTCATTATTTTCTAACTTAACCAGATTTCGCCGGCATATTTTGCCTAAAAAACTAAACTAATTAATTTTAATGACAAAATAACTTTCGCAGCAAAGAACTTATTGAAAAAGAAGTTTCCGATTATTTGCTATAAAATCAAGCTTCAGGGAACCCTTATTCCAATTTTCGATACTCATCAAAATAATCTCTAAAACCGAAAAATCATCCAACCTTTTGCTTTCTGATACTAGCCAATCAGAGAAATTCTTTTTTATTACTACTGGCTTTTGATGCCTTCACTTTTAATTAATTAGACATTGCATTAAGTGGGATTAAATGGAATGGTCTCTGAAGTTTATCATGTTTTGTAAAAACCGATTGATTCACTAAAAATCACGTGACAACGTTATTAGGGGTGATACTGTAATAGTAAACAATCATGAAGAGTAGAATTCATCTCACAGAACATGAAATAAAGACGATATCTCCTGATAAACAAAATGAAGGATAATCAGATTCGTTGAGTCGAAAAAAATTATGAACAAATAATAAAATAATTCTTCATATACAAAATCAAAAAAAGATGCCTTCTTTTTGGTACTGCCAGGGAAAAACGTGACTGGCATGACTTAAGCGAAGAAATTAAGTATATCAAGGCCAAGCAAACCATAAAACGGATTCAGATCTTAATATTTGTAAACTTGGACTTTATAGTAAGTTTATTAAGTAATTTTAATATGTCGTATTTCTTTTGCAAAAGAATATTTTTATATTATAATCCATTCCATTTAACAATTTGTAAATATTTTTATTAAAATTCTTAGTATTTTATTTATATTATTAATAATTAAAAGCAATCTAATTAATAATTAATGTCAATACATTTAGATGGGAAAAATATTAATATTAAATTAAAAGAATGATATAAAAAAAAATTATACATTAAAAACTAAAAAAAAAAGGTAATGAATTCTATAATATATATATAATGTATAGTATGTATACATAACAAAACTTGTTTAATTATTAAATAAACAAAAAGAAAAAGAGAAAATCATAAATATTACCCATCAGCCAAGTCAATTAAAGCTTTCCCAGCTTTTTATTTCTTGCTCTTAGTTTCTTTTTTAATTTTCTGTGTTTGTGCTTGTTCATCTTTAATCTTTTCTTTTGTACTATATTTGTCATGTGATAAGTAATATTATTATTAGCATTCTTATTATAGATTAATTTATGTGGCAATAATTGAAGTTTCCGTTGCTGGTAATGTGAATGTGAATTATGACGATATTTTGAATTATTAATTAAATTCAATTTTTTTGTTATTAATTTTGAAGTTTTTTTGGAGTTTTTTTTTAATTGATTTTTATTATCGTTAGCACTGTTATTCTCGACAATATTTTCAAAATCATCAGAAAATTGTTGTTTTCTAATTCTTGATTCAATATCATTTAGAAATTTGTTTGCTATTTGTTGAGATTCTTCTGGTGTCAATGATATCAAATTTTGTAAAATATAAATTGGTGAAGGTGACGTTAAATATGTAGAGATGCTGCTATTACTACTGATATTATTATTATTAGACGAGGGTGATGATGATGATGATGATGATGATGATGATGATGATGAATTGTAATTTGATGAAAAATCACCTTCAAAATCTATCGATTTATATTATATAAAATATTAATTTTATCAACTAAAATATAATTCTTTTATTTACAATTATTTTATTTTTTAATTTACCTTCTTCTTCCTCCTCGTATATTTTTTGTTGTTGTTTTTCCAATGATTGATTATTCAACATTTCACTACCAATTGTCAATAAAGGTCGATGTAAAGCATAAAATGTACTTTGAGCTAAATCTCTAGGATGAATATAATTAACTTGTACAAACGATAGCTCTTGTTTCTGGGTTGAATTGGGTGTATTAGTTCGTTTTGTATTTGAGGAGGAGGATGAGGATGAAGAGGATGAAGAAGAGGAGTAATATTTTATAGCATTTATTGATTGAATTTTTGAACTGCAAAATATTTCATCTGCACTAGATTGATGAACAAATGTTTTTTTAAGGTTATTCAATAATAACCTTTGACGGAGCACTGTTAATAAAGTCATTTTTATTGAAGTGGCCTTCAAGAAACAAAATGTTTATATTAAAGAATGAAATTTATTATTTTTATTTTTATTTTTATTTTTATTATTTTAAAATTGTCGCCCCCGACCGATCTGTCCATAAACAAAATTGATTGTCTCAAATCCAGGTCATTGATTGGCTGGGAAATGGGGCATTTTATTTTTTGTTGTTACACGATTCCAATAATAGTAATTGTAATAGTAAGTTCACTCAAAAAGGATATTAATTATTTACAATAAGCGAATAAAAATACAAAACAAATAAATCCTTGAAAGGACAAACGAAAATATAGATATTATTTATAATCATTGTTTAGAAAATATTGATTGTGGTTATATTACTACTTTTATATTTTTTAATTGGTAGAGTTTTCCGGTATTACTATACAATTCTATCATAAAATGGGGCATACTGCAACCAGACAAAATGAACATTGATATTACCAAGGATTCCAGGGATCAAAATTTAGTCATTTATAATGTGATCATAATAAACAGTTTTATAATATGGGGCATGCTGCAACAAAGTGAACATTGGTATTACTAAGGACTTCAGGGATCAAAATTTAGTCATTGATAATGTGATTATATAATTAACAGTTTTATAATATCTTATTTGTTATCTTAAGTGATATAGAATTGCCCCTATATAAAAATAGTCAATATGAAGCTAATTTACATTAGATCTACCATGGAATCCAAGAATTACAGTACTATTAGAAGTATTTTGAAGAAAGAGCAAGGTGAAAAAATTGCACCTTATGTTTTCAAAATAAATGATACTCAAACAAGCTTATCTAAGGAAAGAAAGAATTACCTATGAAATGATAAATACTGGTCGCAATTTTTGATGGTGGTTGCAACCATAGTTGAAACATATAAGAATGGTTCGTGAAACCGGATTGCGTCCACCTTTGCGACCACTTTGCCTTCCTTTTTTGGATTGCGACATAGAACACTATATGAAATTTACCAAGAAAGAAAAATAATAAATGTTAGAAAAAGAAAGCAACATGATGATGCATTATTACCTAATAAAAAACAAAAATCTTTAAAAGGAAAATAATTACCATTTTTTTGATAATTGGAATGAATTTTAAATTACTTTTTTATTTTTAATCAAGATCATCTTTTAGTCTCTTTGACTTCAAGGTGACATTCAACTTTTTCTTCTTCCTCCTCAAATTTGTTTTCAAATGATCAGCCAATAATTCCTTCTCTTCCAATTCTTTTTCTAGCTCTTTGATCTTCTCCTTGGAACCTACACTCTTTTCCATATTAAAATCATATTTTTAATTTGCTTCTTCAACTTCTTTTTTAATTCTCTAATTTCTTTTTGTGGGTTTCTTTCAATTTCTTTATTTTCATCTTTTTCTTCTAACACCTTTATTTTTCTTTCTAATTCTTTTTGTTCTTTTAACTTCTTTTCAATGCTAAGGTAGAGGGCTTCTTCTGTTCTATCTAACTTAGAAGTGCTTTCTTTTAAGCCTTTTTCAACTTGATGTAATTGTTCAATTTGATTAATAACTTTTTCTTCTCAATCTTCTAATCTTTCTAAATTATTTAACTCTTGTTGTTCTAATTTTATATTTCTTTTATTTTTTTACTTTTTATTATTGCATTTATTACCATAATATATTATTTTAGTACACGTGCATAAAAATTTTATATTGGTTTTGGACAAGTAATATCTTTGTATTCATCTTTCACAATGGGCAAATAGCATAGTGGAAGTTTGTTGTTACACGAATTGTCATACAGAACTCATTGCTCCTGAAACTTCACCAGTATATAGTGTTCCTCTCTAAAATGGAGATCAAGTTCAGATCTAATTCAAATCCAGTTTATCACTTACTTTTTTATTGCCAGAATATTTGCCTGTATTGTAAAGCTACGTTGCACAATATAAAAATTAGTGTAACATTTCAAATTTCCACTATGCTTGGGCAAATATTGTTATAAAGGTATTCTTGCCTTTTATAATCCAAAGTATGAAAATAGATAAAGATTTAATTTTTGTGGTAATTTTGGAACACTTGTTTTTTAAGCTTTTAACAAATTAAATTCAATACAACAATCATCTGAGCTCTGACAACTCCAGGTTTAATTGCTTCAAATAAAAAATGCTGAAACTTTTGAAACCGTTTAATTTTTTAAAGAAAATTCCCAAAATTGTTTTAATATCCAATTGTTGAAAACCTTTCCAATCTTCATAACATTGAGTTTTATTTAATCCTGCTGGGCTAGATCTTTTCCTTACATCAACCATATGGTCCAGATAATCTATCCTTGTCTTTCTGTAAAGTTTTTTGGTCAAGCCAAAACTACCATCACATTTGAATTTGGTATGCTCAGAAATCATGAAATTCAATTCAATGCTTCATAATAACCACAAATTACTAAATATAAATAAAATAAATAGCCACATTATTTTTATTTTGTCCGCCAGCATTATCACATGTAATCTTTAAATGCTTTTCACACTTGTTCAATTTCTTAATTCCATTCAAAAATCATACTAAGAGTGCTATTTGGTCCTTTTCATTTCATCAAGTGCATAATTTATTTGTCTCTCACTAGAATAAAGTTTGTTTCTGCAACTGATTCAAAATTCTCCAACTCAGGAGGTTACAATTTCAGGGTTACAGCCCTGCTCTGAATTGTAACCTCCTGTGTTTGAAAAAAGTTGCAGATTCTTGTTACTTTGATGGATCTGAATGTTTATGTGCACCCGATATCACAACTTTGATACATAGTTGCGACCTGGTCACAGATCCATCCTTACCCAAGAGATAGGGTCGTTGCAAGTGACTTTTCGGCTAGCATGCCAGTAGCATTCTCTGTTCTGGTGCTGTAATGGAAGTTTAGGGAAAGTGTCATTGACTGTTAGTGCAGTCTTGGTAAACTCTAGGGCCACGTCACCCCTGGAATTCGGTTGCATCATTGTATCATCGGGGCACACTAGTCAGATTAGCCTTGTGTACATGAGAAACGAGTGAGAATGACTGTAAAGTGCTCAAGGTAACGTGTGTGCTTCAATGTCTGACAATCTCCGATAATCAAACATTTTGTTTCATACTCGACTTGTTTCTTTTTCAATGGTGTGCTGTCTTGACATCTTGTAATTATTTATTTATATTAATATTAATATTGATACGAAAAGCAAAATACCAATCGTTTACCATCTTGAAGAGACTCTTATAATTACCCTGCGAGTTCTGTTCCACGTTTTGATTTCAATTAAAATATTTATAAAATAAGAGGCATATATCAATACAAATTAAAAAATAGTTACTTCTAGTTAGTTATTAACACATCTTCTTTAGGAGAACCACATTTTGTTATTTTTGGACTTTGTCAAAAATAATTGTTTTTCAAAAAAAAATCTTTGTAGAACACAAGTGCCAATAATAATCTTATTCTTTTTTTTAACGCGTTTATCTTTTTAAAAATAAAAATTTATAATTATGACAACAAAAAAGAAGCAAAGTATTTGTTCCGAAAATCGATGAATAAATGTTTATCATATGAATGGTGGTGGTAATCGTCGTCATTCTAGTTATTAAATAAGAATGATTAAAATTTTTACTTTATGTTTTATTTATTAGTGAAAATCAAGAAAATCGAGATGTATGTAAATTATAAAGTTTGCTTTTAATAAACTACCTTCAAGTCATCATTCTGGGCTTATTCAAAGAGTCTGCAAATCTTGTAGACAAGATAATTATTAATAAATTTTATTTTTTACTTATAAAATGAATCTTTAACTTTTTTATGATACAAAGATCCAACAAGTTTCCACTATTACCGAAAGTTTGATAAAGAGACAGCAACAAGTATATGACCTCGTTGTTAGAGATAAAGAAACGTTTCTTCACGGGGCAGCAGGGGAAAAATTTATTAATTATTAAAAATAATAGATACTCTAAAAAATATGTTCTGGAAAGTACGGTTTCTGTGACTGCAACCACAGGAATCTCAGCTGTTGAACTAAGTGGGACAACCTTACATTCATTCTTTGGGTTAGGATTGGACAATTTATTACTCTCATCATCATTACCATCACCACTTCCGTTAGTTTTTTCTGAAAACACGTCAATCAAATCCTTCTTATTCTATACTATTTATTTATAATTTATTTTTTTGAATAAGGGAAAACAAATACATATAAATTCATATATTTAAGTGTATATATTTTTAAATTTAATAGTTTAATAGCAGTGAAATAAGATTTAAATTAAGTCAATACTTTTCTTCTGAAAATTCAAAAGATACAAATTATGGTTCTTTTCTAAAATATTGAATGACACACATATATGTATACATTATTTAATATAAATTTTTTTTATGTGAATGAAAACCTGTATAAAAAAAAATAAAAAGGAAAAATATCCGACAACTCTTTTTTTCCAGAAGTTAAAAATTTTTAAAGGAAAATCCGGATTTTTAAAGTGCTATTTCCAGCACTGGCGGTGAATATACTAAAGATATAACAAATAAAAACAATTGTAATTGGAATTATGCATATTTATTGTCGGTGTTAGGAAAACAGATGGAAATTTTTATAAGTCACGTTCATTATATGTTGGATTTTGTGCGATAATATGATAAATAAGATACATTAATATTCAAAATTATGGCAGGCACGGTTAAACAAAATAAAATGTTAGAAGAACAAAATCTTATGCATAAGAAAAGCAATGAAATATCACACATTTTAGAACATTCATCATTAAATCTGAATGAACCTCTCTCTTTTACAAAAAAGTAGCCTTCTGGCTTCATATCTATGTAGTTTTCGTGGAGGAGATCTAAAAAGACTTGAAGATTCTTGGGTATCACTTCCCGAGGGAAAGAATCATTGATGACATGGATAATAATGGACGGATTTGTCAAATACCAGCTGACGCTGACAGTGAATTTTGGCTTGTACATAATACATTGTAGAAACAGAATATCAGTACATTGTGGATGTCAAATAAAATTAACATTTCAAAAAGGAAGATGGTTTCAAATACAAACCTAGAAAAAATTTTACTTATAAATTCCTAAAAAAAACAAATGCTTAGCAATGTATCGTTTTTAATCCATTCAGGATCATCATTATCGCCAAAACTTTGAATTATGTAATGAAGAGGATGATATTAACAGGTAAAATTGGTTTTTTTTATAAAGCTTGGATAATTTGGGATAATTTTATAGTCTACTTTATTAGAAATTTATAAAAATAATAAAACCCTTTTAAAGAAGCTAATAAAAATGGTCATACTAAATTAGGAGCTAAATATCTTATTGAAAAGGCCATTTAAAATCTCTTCTAAACAAAAGGTTCTAAAGATGTAATAAAAGTCGACGTTCATATAACAATAAAAAAATTGGATGAATAGATTATTGATATGTATATTTAATTGAAATCATGTGCCGAGTCAAAAAATAACAAAATCGTTTATAAATAAGCCAGTATTTATAAGACGTTAAATTTTTCTTTTGAAAATTATGATAACTATATATAAATTTTCTTTCATAATTTTCAATAAAATATTTATAAAACAACAAAATATCGAGTTTATCAGAATAATTTTTAAATACACTTCTACATGTATATAAAATAAAATAATTATTAAGCAGGATATTACTATAATTTAGTATATAATAAATTTATTTAAACTTACTTGAGAATAGGTTTGAAAGTTTTCACAGATATTAATCAATTTCTCATGTAATAGGATTGTTAGAAAAAGGAACATCTGAGTCTGATGGCAAGGATGGATCAAATTCGAACTTATAGTTGTTGTATCCAGTGTAAAACCTCTCATTACCATCGTTGTTGTTATTGTTATTTATACAACCCGAGTCTGATGAATCGAATTCGAGTGGATATTTCATTTCTCTGAAAAAATTTATGGTGTTTTCATCTACTTGATAAAATAAAATAAAAAAAAGAAAATAATTACCAATTTTTCTTTTTCTCCCCCTTTTTTTTGGAATCCAATATCTAATGCAAGTCCGATTTTTAAGCTTGCATGCTTTGCATCTTTCATCACCGATTTCCTCGCATTTCTTTTTGTTTCTCCTGCACTCTATGCATCCCTTTAGCAAGTATGGGCCTCTATACGGCATTCTTCATACGAGAATAAGAAATATATAATTTTTTTTAAAAAAAAAGAAAATGTTGTTGTGAAAAAAACCTTCGCTGATATTTATATATAATTTTTTTTTTAAAAAAAAGAAAATGTTGTGAAAAAAACTTTCGCTGATGTTTATATATTTTTTTTAATCGTCTCACAAATCTTATTTTTATATTTTTTCATTTAGATGATTGCGGCTAATAAATAAAAAAAAATAAATTCTTTTGAACTTCTTTATAACGAACATATTAGTCGTGCGACATTGGGACGTTGGATACAATAGTAATAGTAATAGTAATAGTATATCTGACTTGACGATTTCCACAAAACACGTGATAATAAAATTTTAAATTTCAGATAATAATAATAATAATAGTAATAGTATGAATTTAGACAATAAAAATAACAATAACAATGTTGGTAGTAGTAGTAGTAGTAGTAGTAGTAACGGCGGTAACAGTTACAAATACTCAATGACGACATCGACGGGCACAATGTCTAATCCATTACCACAACCACCACCACATAGGTATGGACAATCTAGCAGATCTGAAAAAATCAATAAACCAGCACCTATTATAGTGTCAGGCGATATAAAAATAGTAGATTTAAGGCCTTGGGTTAGAGGGTTTGACATTAAATGTATACTGTTAGAGCTTAGTAAGTAAACTAAATGATGGTGAATAATTGAGGCTCAAATAATTTACAGATTAGTTTACAAAAAAATCTTTGAATTATTAATTAATGCTAATATTATAATTACATATATTAGTTTCAAAACGTACACTAAAAACCAATTCAGATGTCGAGATACATAGTTTCCTAGTAGCTGATGAAACTGCAACATGTACATTAGTAATCTGGGATAAAGGTCAACATTTTAGGGAGGGTGATGTTGTTCAGATTTATAATGGGTAAGCCTATTCAATCAGTCCAATTATGAATATTTTTTTTTTGTAATTCATTTAATTAAATTCGTTGACACATATATATATATATGCTTATATACATAGTGAGACAAGAGTCCATGATGATAAACTGGAATTAACTGTAAATAGCCACTATGGAAAAATTAAGATTGTCGATTGGTAAGTTATTGTAATAATAATATTATTATTAGTATGGTGCTAATTTATTTATTTGTTAGGGATGCAATGCAGTATAAGGAATCTGAAGAACCAAATATGAGTGGTTTTCTATGGATATCAGAAAACAATGGAAACAGTTCAATATTTGTAAATATTCTTTATTTTGCCTCTTCACATAAACTCAATAATATTAATATCATTATTTTCCCTTCTAAAATAAAATTTATAAAGAAACCAATGACTAAAGATCGGGTTGAAATTGATTTAAACACTTTTAAACCTATTGAACCAACTCAAATTCAACAATCAACATCAACATTGTCAATATCATCATCATTGACACCACAGTATGATTCATCAATATCTACATCAAAAACTAATGCTACTAATATCATTGCTGTTAATACCTCCACTACTAATACTAGTGATATTGCTAATACATCAACAACAAAAATAAAACAAGAAGAGTCTATGCAAATATCTTCGTCCATGTCTTCCAATTCTAAATCTATTATTTATTCAAAAGGCACACCAAAAATAAAACAGGAAAATGATAAAGAACAACAACAATTATTTGTTGGTAGTAATAATAATAATACCAGAAATTCAAACAGACCATTTTACAATAATGGTAATTCAAATACTAATAGCATTCATACTAATAATGGTAATAATAATGACTCAAGACAACAAAACAGTGACCGATCTCGCTCAAATAATAACAACAACAATAATAAGCGGAAAGGAGCTACTAGACGTGATAGTTGGAGTACAAGTGATATTAGAGATCGTTTTGGACCACCTAATAATAATAATAATAATAATAATAATAATAATAGTGCTGAAAATGATAAAATTGAAGATGGTGATTATGAAATTGGAAATAATGGATGCAGAATTTCAGATAAAAAAATTGGAGGAAGTGGGGAAAATAATAATAATCGTTATTCAGGTGGTGGTGGTCGTAACAACAACAACAACAACAACAACAACAACAATAGAGGTCGTGATTGGAATAATAATGATAATAGAGATAAAGTTAGTAGAATTGATTTTCATGATAGAGAATATAATAATAACAATGCTAGTGGTAATAGCATTATTTACCGCCCACATACAGATCTTGATAGACCTGAAGAAGGTGAACTAGTTGATTTTTCAACATTTTCACCTGGATATAATAACAGTAATACAACACCACCAAGAAAACAGCCAAAATATTAATTTATAAAAAATTTTTTTACAATGCATTAATTTAAAAATTTTTAATTTTTGAGTTTAAATTATTGTAAAGCCTATTAGATTTATTATATTTATTTCTCAAAATAAAGAATTGTTTATTTCATTGAATTTTGAATGAATGTTTGATATGAGTGATTGTAATTATTTATAAGTATGAATGAATTAATGTGTGATTGTTAAATCCATCTCAAACATTAAATAATATTTTATATATATATGATATATATGAGGAAGTTTTCTAGCAAAAAGGGTGGGAGGTACAGTGTAATTGAGTGATGGATGATCCCTTAAAAATATGTTATACATATGTTTTTTTTTCACCAGTTATAATCCTTATCATATAGATTTGTATTATGCAAAAACTCAATTTGGTGAGAGATCTATAACTCCCCTTCGCTAGAAAACCCATCATAAATTCAAAAAAAAGTTTAATTAGAAATATTACATATATATGTATATAATATGTTATATCAAATTTCTAAAAAAATAATCATGAATAGATAAATAAATAATATAGATACATTATACCTTTAATATAATAATGGCCGCTAACAAGTTCACTTCTTAGTAATGAACCAAACCAGCAACAACGTATATGGTGTTTTTATTAATTAAAAAATATTAACAAATTAAAATTTTTTACTTTTAATTGATCATGATGATATTCGTATCCAGTGTATATATCATAAATAAGGTCATCCATCATCTCTCACCACTGATACTGCTATATATTGTTACTGCTATTGCTACTGCTACTACTACTGCTACTAACATTATTACTAATATTATTAAGATTATTAATGTTACCGCCAGCATTATTAATGCTATCACCATCAGAACTACTGCTAACAGTACTTTTACTTTCTCCTCGTTTACTATAAAATTTTGTTAAACCTGTGAAAATAAAAAATATGGTAGATAATCTAAACAAAAATGGGATTTTTCTATTATTAGATTCATAATAATAATCTTTGCTAGTAATAGCTTCGTCAACTGCTTGTAATTTATTAATTGATGGAACAATCCCTATTGGTGAATTTTGTTGATAATATAAACTAAAATTCGATATTGGTATTACTGTAGGAGAAGAAATTGTTGTTCTTGAAACTTTTTTATTTATTGATGATAATTTTTGTCGCTTATTAATTATGATTATGATATTTGATGGTGTTGTTGATGTTGATGTGACTTTAGGTTGACCTGGTGGGACATAGTGCGGATGAAAAGGAAGTTGGATAGTACTTGCATAACCTTTTATGATTATCCTTTTGTTTGATTCTTTAATTATTTTTGTGAGTTTTAGTTTTTTAATACAAAAAAACATTGAAAAAAAAGTTGGGAGTAAAACACCCTTCGTAGACTTTTCCAAAATTAGACTTTGCGTGTAACAATATTTTTATTTGATATACAAGTGATCCTGGATATAACGACACTCTCGAGACCATAGTAAATAATGATCCATATCGCAATCCAAAAAAGGAAACCAAAGTGGTCGCAAAGGTGGTTGCAACCAGGTGTCGCAAACCATTTTTATATGTCGCAAATATGGTTGCAACCATCACCAAGGATTGCGACCAGCATCTATAATAGTAAAATTTATTCCAATTGTCGTTATAACAAAATATGTTTTATATAACGTTATTATTATGTGGCCGTTATGTCCGGTAGTATTTATATCCAGAGTCACTTGTACAGTGTGTTGCGAAAAAATGGCGCGTGAATAAAACTGTATATCTTAACAATTACACAACACAAATAAATAAAAATAGATTCATCAATTTTTCATAGAATTAAAATTTGTGCTGGTTTCTGGGAACTTTTATCCCATTCTTCAACAATAAATCCCTAGTATCTTTAGGCAATCTCCTTTCTAAATGATATGACTAGGTTTCCAACAAGTCAAACATTTACTTGTACTGTTTTTATTTTTGGTGTTGCTGAAGATGCATTTGGAAAATTCTAGTAATTAAAACTGGACATACCCAGTAAAAGTTAACCGATAATAACATTTATTTTTTTTTTTTTTTGAAAAACCCCCAATTTTACTTTTTAAAGTCATTGACAAGATTTTCCTATATTAAAAATATAGAAATTATATATATAATAAGCTAGAATGACCAGTTTAAATGTAATAACAATCGATCTTCATTTTATTTTATTATAACTATGGGCGTCTTCACATGTGCAAATTTTCAGGTAGAATTAACATTTGTTGCACGAAATGATTCAGGACTGGATTATATTTTAATCTTAGGATTAAATAATCTTCTCAGTTATTTTACCAAATATTTCAATCTCTTTGGAATCAGAACTTGAAGAAGAAGAGGATGAACTGCCTTCTAATTGATTATTTAATAATACAAGTGCAGGAACTGCACTAGACAGTAAAATATACATATATATATACTTGTAGTAAAAAAAAATTGTTGATTTAAACGTGAAATTAAATTTTTAATCTAATCCAAGTCTCCGAAAATTGGCACATGTGGAGACGTCCTATATATTTAATTATTTTGAAAAAATATTATTATGTGCATAAGAAAAAGTAAAAGGCAAACCAAAAAAATATTATAATGGTCCAGCATCAAATTTTATTATTGAAATTAGTACTATTATTATTAAAATTAATAGTTGCTAATTGAACTATTATTATTATTAAAATTCATAGTTGCTAATTGAACTATTATATTATTATTGTCGTTGACTATAAATTGTTGTTATATTATTATTAATGTTGTTGCCAAGCATTATTGAATCATTATTATTGTATTATTATCATCATTGTCAATAATACTCCACGAAAATAAAAAATTTAGCCCGAGTCGTCATTGTTCTGAATATTAACATTCTCACTGTTCGTTGAAATATGCAGAATGCTTATGGGATCTAAACTTGTAATAGTTCTTTCTTGTAAATCCTTTTTTAATATTTGGGCACTTCCTTGTGGCATAGTAAGCGAAAATTTTTATTACTACACATACACTATGTATGTGCACTATGTTCATTTGACACTACGCACGCTGTGCGAAAAACTCAAGTTTGCACATCACCGTACGAACAAAAGAAGCAAGGTCCATTTTTCGTGAATTGCACATTGAAATGTAAGTTCATCAGATGACATTAATGCCGATAATGATGACATAGTGCTGGTAGTGGTGTGGCATTATTATTATGATTTTTTGGATTGTTGTTGCTGATACTATTATTATATACTGCTACTACTATTACTACTATTAACGATCAACGTTTGTTAATAGTCGCGGGACATTGCAGATCAAGTGTCATTCAATATAAACGTTACACGAATAAATTATTATCGCCCACTTCAAAAAAAAAAATTCTCCGCTTTTCTAATGCATAAGATTTTGTTCTTCTAACATTTTATTTTGTTTGACCGTGTCTGCTATAATTTTGGATATTAAATAAGTTTCCTCATATTATCGCACAAAATCCAACATATAATGAACGTGACTTATAAAAATTTCATCTGTTTTCCTAACACCGACAATAAATATGCATAACTCCAATTCCAATTACAATTCCAATCGTTTTCATTTGTTATATCTTTAGTGTATTTACCGCCTTTGATATAAAGTTACATCATCCAATTCTTGGTCTGTGGGCATATAAAATTACAATTAGTACTAATTTCGTCAGTTGCAAGAGAATTTGTTCTATTAAATGAATTAACAGAAACCGTTTCCGTGCCTCCACTGTCAGAAATTGATTCGGAAATAATAGTAAGGTAAAAAATTTAGAAAAGGGTGTTTTTAGTATTATTATTTATTTGTGAATTTATTTGAGACAAATAAGAAACGAAACGAATAAAAAGGAATTAAACAATTAAAACATTTGATTGGATTCATTAAATTACTATTACTATAATATAAATTCTTTTTTTTTTGTTTATTGACTTTTTTTTTCCTTTTCTTTTTCATGTTTATTAAATACAATAACATATTTGTTCAGTTTAATAAAAATAAAAAATAAACCGTTGGTATAAGAAGATGTTATTTTATTACTATGGTTCCTAACCGTAATCCTACCCTCTATCATTATTTCAGATATTTAGTGGTTGTATCCATTGATTATCCGGGTGTTTGAGCACCTGGTCAATCAATAAAGCTAAAACACCCGGATAATCAGTTATTCACCGAATATCCGTTGAATATGCATATTTTTTTTAAGAAATACAAATAACAACGGATTCAATTTATTCGTTCGGTTGTCATTGTGTTTCCTGCTTCACTAAATACAGTCAAATCTTGTCACAGCGGATGAATGGAGATTTATTTAAAGCCTGTTGTGGAAAGATTTATTGATCTTGCCACAATGGATTTTTATGTTTTATATTTTTGTAATTTTAAAATTAATAACCTTATAAATGACTATAAATCAGTCTCTTATAATTAAAGGCAAAATTTTTCTAACACAGCCTCCCGAGTGGTTATAAGCGACTTTATAGGAAACACTTTGGCACAACTGTTGCTGCTAAATTTGCTTTAGTCTGCATACTGGTTGAGCGATAATCTTAAAATAAGTGTGAAGAAAAGAAACGCTTTCGACCTGGCGTAGAACAACCAATATTTAAGCTAGTCTTTTCTTTTAACTGTTGTTAAAAGCCCCAGTCTGGCTCTAAAAAATTTATTATGGTTGAAAGTCGCTTGTTACATGAAAAACGGAGATTTTTTTTTTTTGAAGTGGACGACAATAATTTTTTTCGTGTAACGTTTATATTGAATGACACTTGATTTGCAATGTCCCACGACTACTAATAATAATAAACTTTAAAAAATTGAAAATAAAACACCTCTGTAATCAAAAAAAATGATTGTACAAACGTGACTCCAAAAAAACCCCCCAACTTTATATTATCTCCAAGATATTTATTTGATATAAAAAATTATTTATATTTTTTTTTCTTTTCCAAGATATATGAGGATCAGGTCATAAGATAGTAAAATATTGTTAAAAAGAAAGGTAGAACGCTATAAAACTGGTAGAAACATATTTTAGAAGATATTTCCAATAAATATATGCATAAAAAAATTTTTTTTTAAAGCTTTAATAAAAGATCTTTCCTAATTACAATAAAGAAAAACCAAAAGGCTTTATTTTATTTAAATATTGGACTCTTCTTTTATTGAAAAAAAAAAACATGACCACTACTTCTCTTTCACCTCAAGGAACGAAAATTTTTTGGATCAAAAAGTGTATTTATTTTATTTGAAAAGTTTACAAAGCGAAATGTTATTTTGTTATATACAGTGTTCGAAATTCGACTGCGCCTTTACATAAACTAATCTAATTTTAAAAAATTATCTGCGGTTAATTTCCATATTTGGTTAGTGCGCGCCGATTCCGCCGATTGAATTTCGAACAGTGGTTATATATATAAAATTTTGTGAATTTCAAGGGTGGACAGTTTTGGTTTTGTGAATTACCTAGGGGTAAGTAAATAAATGGGGGGGACAACTCGATGTTACACATATAGATCTTGTGAATCCAAAACTGTCACGCCTTAAAAATTAAAAATGATGCGCATTTCATAGTAAAAAATCAAACTTTACATATAAAACTTTATACACAAGTGTTTTGAAGCAGCCGATCCACCAAAGTTGAGTTCACAAGGCAAATACCTTTATGTTTTTCTGAGTTTTGTCAAATTTGTAGCAAAAATGACTTTTAGACACTATATTAAATAAATAAAAGATATATTAATATTAAATGACATTTTACTTCTTGTAGTTAAAATTCTACAAGTGATAATGAAATTAAAACCATTATAATAATCATAAGTAGTGAGTGAATAATGAACAGGTAAAGCAGTAATATAAGTAATATAAATAATATAAGTAATTTATACATACGTTATTAAAAATTAAAATTTTTTTTTATGTTAAAGATGGCAGAATCCTCAAAAAAAAAAAAAAAATAAATAGAAATTATATATAAAGTATCTTACCGGACAATAAATAATAGGTGGCTTACTACTACAAACATACACTTCATGTGCATACTTTAACATTAAAGGTTGGTCGTAATGTAAAATTAATTTTATACATGGAGAGGATATATATTTTAAAT